ATGTTTAACATTTCATTTCRTGTGACTGTGTGAATGTTWYYMTMYAWTWAYSRTTTTGCAGAAACGTTTCAAAGSCTGCGAAAAAGGTCTTTATCAKTGAAAATGAGGCGCAMGGAAGCATGGCTATTGATTTTGTCGAATTTTAGTATTTCAGGGAGCATTTGGGGAAAAACTTGATGGGAGCTTTTAGATATATTATTTATGTAGCAAGGGAAAAAAACTTAAAAAAACCAACAACAACAACAACAAGATAAACAAAAAAACAACAACAACTAGAGATCAAGGGAGCATACTTTGAATATGACTCAATATAAAAAAAAACATCTATCAAAATAACACTGACATTGCATTCTTTCAAACAAATTTTAAATTTGATGACTTCATGAGATTCAAAATTTATAGTCCTTRATAGCTTTACACAAATGATATAATTAGAAGATAGCAACATTAAGAATTACAAACACTCAATTATTAGTCACCTCATAGCCATGACATGTGGCTTGCTGTCTACCGTGGTCATATAGTAGAGCGGGTAGGAAATGGATCTGAATATTTGGGTGGGTAACATCTGTGTGACTTCTGATAAAGGCCCCAACTTCAAGATGAGAACTCATCCCAGTCCCTCRTCTTGTAAAGYGCCATTTGATTCCAGTAGACAGCATGAACAATAATTTGTAATTACTGTATACTGAAACTGGTTTTATGCAAGCCTACGGTGGTAATAAAATAAGGTGTAATTAGAAGATCACAAAAAGACAGGAAGAGGTGGGTGAAGTCGAAAGAAGGGTATATATCAAGGAAAAGTTTCTCTATCTCTTTTGACATACATGTTGTATGCATAGCTTCAAATGATCTTGTAGATTCTGRCCCACCCCTGGCAGYTGGCAAACCACAGGGATCCCATGCTTCTTTAGTTCATCACCATCACCAATACCAGAAAGCATKAGGAGCTGAGGGGAGTTGATTGTACCACCACAAAGTATTACTTCTTTATTTGCTCTTACTCTCTTTGTCTAAAAACATGAGAAGGAGAAAATAACCATGTATGACATATATTTCCTTTAAAATACCATACCTTTACTATACATACAAAGA